AGATATCTTACCCAGTCAAAGAATGGAAACAGACCAGCTTTTCACAGGTCTAAAACTGCCTGTAGAGTACTTAAAGCAGTCGCAGACAGTGCTTGGGACTACAGACCAGACAGTGAAGGATTCCCAGCCTTGAGATGCTACAGGGCCTGGTCATGAGCAAATTAACTGTTTATTATTAGAGTCCTTTAAACTTAGGTTAGTTTCTCCAGTTGCATAACAAGTTTTTGCAGCTCCCTTTGAGACATACTAACCAGAGCGCCAGGCTTCACCTGGAGCCTGCATCCAAAGCGGGAATGCTGATATCCTGCTGCCCTACTCTGGTACCACGGCTGTGGTCAGGGCTGGGAGAGGCAGCAGGAGCTGCTCTGCTCTCCCCATGCAGCCATAGACCTCAGCAGGCTCACGCTGACTCGTGTGCTCTCGACACGAGGAACATCGGCCAACTCTGGGGTTTGCTCCTACCCCAGAATTCCTGCCACCTCCCACTACACCTACGGGTAGATGCCAAGGAAAGGGTGAGCAGGGCCCTGTGTGCCCCCATCCTGTCCTTGCCAGAGCAGGGTGACCACAGGGGCATGGCATGGCACCGCAGTGCTGGGATGGCTGAGGCACAAAGGATGCCTGGCCTGCAGGAGGACAGAAGTGCCTCAGGGAGAGGGGAAAGGAGTTTGTTTCTCTGAGCCTCCATGGGAATGGCAATGTTTTATATATGCATTCAAGAATCTTCAGAACTTCAGCCTTTCAGGAGCTCTCAGACTCCGACAAAGGCTGTGAAAGCACTTCTTCCATAAGGAAAACAGAAAGCACTGCCACATTTACTGCTTCAGAGCATCTCCTGACTTTTTAAGCCAATTGCAGGATTATTTTTTTTTGGTGGCCCGACTCTTTGTGGATGTATAGGCCAAGTAACACTGCTGATGGTTGCCAAGAAAACGTCTGGTGCAGAAGACTCTGATCTTGCAAAAAGCCCTGTGTGGGTGGATTCCTGATCCATCATGGGTCTCTGTGCAGCACATAAATTCAAGATGTCTGTGCTCCACTAAGTACATTCCAATTCTAAATTTATCATACAGATGTGTCTACTGAAGTGCGCCTTTAACCTCTCCAGATTCTTCCTTTGGGAAAACCTCACTGAGGCCCAGTGTCAAGCTTTGCAAAGTCTGGTTGTGTTATCTTTTCTCCGTATAAAAACCTACAAGGTTTTGCTTATGCTGAAAAAGATTTCTTTCTTGTTCAGGTTAAATCAAAATGTTTTCCAGAACAAAATAAACCCCGCACCTGTGGGTGGGGACACCAGAATTGTTGGGATAGTGCCCTGGTGCTTGTTCCAATTCGTAATCATTTAATTCAAGGGCTAATGGGAAAACAGGGTTTTCTCACTGTTGATTTGAAGACATCCATCACTGGAAAAAATTACAGACCCCAAAGGGAGCTTTTCAGAGAAAAAATGAGGGGGGAAAAACCCCCAAAAGCCCTCAAGTTGCTGCTTGCAATCACAGAATTGTTTGGGTTGGAAGGGACTTTAGAGCTCATGCACTTCTAACACCCCTGCCACTGGCAGGACCATGCTTTGCAGGGACAGTGATTGCTCTGGGGTGGGGGCCAGGGCAAAAGGCACAGATCTGCTCCAAGCCTGCAAACTTGGACTCATGCTACAAAGCTCAGCACCCTTATACTAGGGCTGGGATGGTGTGAAATAATTGCACAAGGACACGGAGAAGGATACCAGGTCCAGCCAAAGACTCTCACCAACACCAGGGCTGAACTAATTCCTCTCAAACCACTGGAGCAGTTCCTGAGGTGCAGGCTTTCCCAGCTACATCTCACTAGGTTAAAAAAATTAAATAAATCCCTCAACAAAGCAGTGAGTTTATAAGTATAAAGATGTTTGTGCTGACAGAAGCAGCTGAATGATCTGGGGACTTCAAAACAGACTGGAGTTGTGGTTGCAGTCACCGGCGGTGAGCAGGGCTCCATCACCCCAAGCACACCCCTGTGCTGCCCATGGGACCAGAGCAGTGGGACCTGCACAGCAGAGGATGGCTGCAGCGTGGCAACACTTGAGCATTGCTTAAAGAAGGAAGAAAGCACACTTGGACTCTTCTTTTTCGTTTTTTTACTTCATGGAAATTTTATAAACACTGGCAGTAACCTACACTTTTACATGACAAAATGGCTCTGGTGGCGAATGTGTGGGGCCCTGCCACACTGCACGGGGTGAATCCCATGTTCCCAGCTGCTGTGGCAATGGCAGCAGGGATTGCGCCCCACAGCCTTCCACCAGCACAACCCAACACCCTACTACTGCTCCACTGATGGTCCCAGCCTTCAGCTGCACTCACAGAGGAGGAAAAACCAGCAGAGACACACGTGTGATGAATGCCTAAAATTACACAATGAAATACGTTTCTAATAAGCTGCTTCCTTCCATTGTTCACAACATCAGACTTAAAACCAAAGTCCCTTGGTTTTTTTTCCTTCCCACAGACCCCAGCTCTGTCCCACAGGGTCTGCACTGGGTGGTGAGCATGAGGCTGCCTGTACACCAGCAGTGTGGGAGATGCAACAACCATTGTTTCCAGGTCCACATGCAGAGGCAACACCAGAGACACCCATGTCCAGGGAAGCCCGTGTGCTTCCCAAACCAACAGCCTCAAGGGGTTCTCAAAGCACAGCCCAGAGAGCTAAATGCTGACCTTCTGTGGATGAGTCCCTGGCCTGACACCTCTGGGACAGCCAACCCAAGAGAGGATGAAGCCACCAAAGGGCAGGCTTAGGTGGCAGTGCTGCCCACAGTGGGATACCTGGGACTGGTTTCTCTGCTGGGTGGCTAGAGAGGCTCCCCAGCCATCTGGGCTGGTCAGAGCACCTCTCCCCCACTTCACTCTCACTGGCTTTCAGCTCCATCTTAACTGCTCTCTTAGATACCTGATCAGAAAACACTATGATGTGCTTTGTTTCAGTGCTGCTCACACCTCCCAGTCAGAGGGTGCAGCACAAAGGGTTCACCACAGCTTTGAAAAGCCCTGAGATGCCAGAGTGTGTAACACAGTCCAGATGTTGACACCACTGGGGGGTTTGTTTTTTAAAGCCACTTTTACGTGCCTCTGTTCAAAGCAGGGGTACAGGAGTGAGCAGCTGGGGCACCACCAAAGCCCAGGGAGCAGAAGCACCATTGACACGATACGTGTGTGTCCAGTGAACGCCAGAATTACATTCAGCAATAGAGCAGACGGACACTAGCTACGCGCACAAGGCAAGGTCAGGAGGCAGCACGGGAAGGACCATGGCAGCATCCTACAGGCAAACCTGCGCCGGGTAGGACACAAAGTGCGCTTGAGAGGACGGAGCTACTGGGGATGTTTGGTCACTAGTTTGGGAATGCTCCCAGCACCCAAGGAATATCATTCAAAACAGGGAAGTCACCTTTGGGCTGCCGAGAGGAAGAAGGGAAACTGCTCATTGCCTATTTACAGCTGAAGAACTGAGCCTGTGTGTCGGCTGATCAGCCTTTACTGTTAACAGGAGTACTAGGGGTGGTCCTGGCTAGGAGAAACCTTCCAGAACTAAGGGCATCATCTACAGAGCCACTGCTGAGGAAAAGAGACTGGACATCTCTTGGATTGGAAATTAATATAACAAGCAAACAAGAAATTGGGTTCCACTTAGAAAAATGATGTGCTGTGGCCCACATTTCAGCAAGTATCAATTCCTCACCACCTCTATGCTGGCCCACCAGAATAACCCCGGGACAGAGACTTCTTGGTGGGAAGAGGATGTGGTGGGAAAATGGCTCACATTGGAGGAGGAAGAGGAAGAGGAGGAGGAGGAGCAGCATCTGCTGCCTCCTTCTCCCAGCTGTGCTCTTGGAAGCTGCTGACCTGAGCACTGCTGACTGGAATGACGTGATCAGCACCGATTGGAATGTCAATGCGCAGGCAGGGGATGGGGCAGGCAAAGCCCCCTGGCACAGTCATGTCTGCTGGCACAGTTTTCCAGGACAGGGGCAGGCTGATGCCAGGGAGGAGATGAAGAGATGTCCTGCAGAGCGAAGCATGATGGTCCCCCCAATTCCTGTCCTGCCTGCCTTAGCACAGCAGCACTTCCAGTAACAGATACTGCTCTCCTACACACTGAAAAACGCACTATAGCACACTATAGCTTACTGAGCGAGGAAAACATAACATAAAGGAAGGAGCTTCTTATGGCAAGGGGCCAACCCCAAACTCCAGTTGCTCTACCCTTGCATCCACACCTGGGAAGTTAGCCCCTTGTGTTTTGACTCCAATGTCTGTCCAAGGTCATCCTTGCAAAGGTACATTTCCCAAAAAGTGAGCAGGTAAGTGGCCACTCTGGTCCCCCGCTGTCCTTCCCACAGCCCTGCAAACACTGCTGGTCACCTGCAAGGCCACACATGAGCATCCTTCACAGCTTGCGTGAGAGGAATGGCAGAAGGGCTGGGAACAGTTCAACACAGATGTGTGGGTAGGGTCTTCTCTCCACCGTTATCTCCTTCTCTTCTAATTTCTTGAGCCACTTCTGACAGCATGCTCTGAAATTATCGTCCGGTAAGATAGCTGCTCTCCAGGGGCACTGGAACTGGAAAAGTCTTAGCTGTGACACATCCGTTTCACAAGCACAGAAAATCTCCTGGGTCTAGCTGGGCTGAGATGGTTACAAAGTCTGGAAGAAGATAACAAGCATGTTCTATACAGCAGTGTAAATTCATCAGCGATTGCAAAACCACAACCAGAGCAAGCCCAGATCTTGGCACCATCAGCTGATTTACTCCACCCCTCAAGAGCACGGGCCAATTCCAGTCACTATCTTCCCTTTTGCAAGGTTCTCCTACAGGAAGGACATTTCTCCTGATCTTTCTTTTGAGATTCCCATTGCCTCCACTGGACTCCCACCACCCTATAAATGCCAAATTTGTGTTACATGTGTGCTTTTGGTTTATTATCTATCTGGTTTGTTGTCACAAACACTTACCTTTAGCCTCAGCTCTCATCACCTGGGATCCTGCCTTGTGGTGATGAAGAACTATATAGAAGGAAGTAGAAGAATACAGAAAACAAACATTAATGCAATAAGCAAGCTCAAACTCAGACCCAAACCTAAATCAAGGGCTGGGTAACAGTCAGGTCAGGGATGTATTCTGCAACACAGCAAGTGAACTCAACATTTATCAGACTTACACGCAAACCTGCTTGCACTTTTGGCAGAGGCTGGTGATCTTTAATGGCAGGAAGCTGAAGCTTATTCGAGCAGGTATCATTACAAATGAAATCTGCTGCTACAAAGCACAACACTCACAATCCAAAGCTCCCCATCCCAGCCTAGCCTGAAGGCATCCATGCCCAAGCTGTCACTCCATCCCACCACACCTCTCTGTGGTGGAGCTATGCCTGCACGTACACAGGGTGCAGGACCATCCATCCTCTGCTCTCGCATCTCTGACCAGCTGCTGTGATCTAACCAGCCCTCCTCACCTCTCCCATGGCCTTATCTCTGCTCTTTGCAAAGGCTGAGAAGTAAGTACACTGTGCACTACACTGCTTAGATGCTCACACATGACAAAAGGAATCCATAGATGTATTTGTTACTTAGCTGATTTACATTTAACTTATCAAGTTTGTATCTGGATTCCCATTTTACACTTAGTGCTCTTTGTTTAGTTCCAGCATTTTGGCTGAGACCCATCTTCTGCCCATGAGTGTGAGGCAAGAAAGGTTGGGGCTGGGGCTTCCTGAGCTGACTCGCTTTGCCTTGGAGGGAGCTCCCCATGCAGTTATTTACATGCCAGCTTCTCAGTGCCAGGCTTACTTGCTTGTTCTTCGGGAAGCTGTCTCAAAGAACTTTGTCCTAGAGGCCACCCTGCAGAGAGAACAAAAGAGGTCACTCCAGTTATCTGTTAAGACAAGTTGTTAATTAGATCTCACCTGTGCTAGGGAAAAGAGCAGAAGCATTAGCAGACAAAGAAGATGATCACCTTTGACTGATGTCTTTTCTGCTGAGGCAGAGGCTGTGTTCCTCATGCTGCCAGCTCCATTCCCCTCCGTCTTCCCACTGTCCTGGCCTTGCAGACCTTCATCACTTTTGGCTAGACTGCTTATTTCCATGCTCTTGCTTATAATCCTACATGCTGGTCTATAAACCTGCATCTATCACCTTTTATGGCCTCTCCTTCAGTTTTTATGTACTCCATCCCTGCTAGGATGGCAGAGGAATGGAATATGCATCATTGCTGGACGTGCAGCAGCAGAGAGCTCTGCAGTGGACCCAGGTTCCAGCCCCCCCCCCAGCCAGTCCTGGCTGCTGGGCTGAGATCCCTGTGTATTTAGTTGTCCTTTTTCTTTTCTTTTCTTTTTTTATTCCCATTGAAGCTAGCAGGGTTTCTGTCTCTTTAAAATCTGAAAGAAATCTGATGAAGCTGAACTTCATACAATTACCTTAAGAGAGACCCAAGCTGGATCTTGTCCTTCCCAGGGAAGCGTCTCATTTGAGAGGCTTGCTCAGACCCAGGCAGGGAAGGGCTTTCCAGCTTCATCACAGCAAAGAAGGTGAGGGGACAAAGCTCAGCCCCAGGGCTGTACTTGAGAAGGTTCAGAGCTTTGTTTTTCCTGCATGTGCTTGCCTTTGCTATGGCCATGGCTCCCCTCCCAGGCTATGCCCTCTGCACAGCTTTCCAAGATGTCATTCAAACTGCAGTCGCATGGGTGTTGGAGGGAATGTCCACAGGCTCCAGCTATTGTACATCACCAGCACTGGAAACCAAAGTGGTATTTCTCCTCCTCCTCTTCCAAAATTACCATTAAGTGACACCAGCTTCTACTCCTGCTGCCTGGGCTGACCTCATCCCCCTGCATGTTCCCCAAGCCCCTGGGTGACAGCAGCTCCCTCAGGCTGAGCTGCCCATCCTGGGTACCACGTGCTTCCCAAGGGCTGCTGACTTACACAGATGAAGGCATCTCTTCTGCTGTGACCGCTATCAGATCTGGCCTCTGCTCCAGCTTTGGAGGGACAGGAGTCCTGCATGGAGGGTCTGGAGGTCTCACTGGGGGACGCGTAATCACGGGCTTATCACCATGGGATCGTGGCTTAGGGACACCATCGCACTCACCTGCAAGGTTGAAGATTACAAACAGAGTATAAAGCTTTGGTAGAGGGCTAGGTGTTTATGAGAGGCATCAAACAAGTTAATGGGCTTAGTTCTGTTTATGTGTCTGCCGCACCATCCTCACTCTGAC